GTATTCTCATAATGTAAAGAGAACAGTTATAAGAAGGTTACGTTTGTGTCACTTTTTGTTTGAATAAAATTATATAAAAGAGAATTCGGCCTACAGCCAACCCTGTTCCACATTGCAGCCGCCCTGATAGTCCGGTCAAATTAGTCAATAAATAGTGGTCAAATAACGAAAATTCCGACAGAGCTAAATTTTGGTGGAGATCTTGGGTACACCATTAGAAACAAGGTGTCAAAAGTCCCCATCGATCCCATGTATGCTAAAAAAGTTATTCGGGGTCAAAGGTCAAAATTTGAGGTTTTTTGGATTTTTTTCGAAAACGGTAAGTTTTATCAAAAAAAGTAGTTCTGACAAAAATTATAGATCTTAAAATTATCTACAAAAATTGTCCTTATACTTTTTTTTTCTAAGGATCACCATTCCTGAGAAATCGCGATTCTAACTATGATATTTCCGATCTCTATAGTAATTATGTATTAATAGATTCGATTCTAATTAATTAAGAGAGGAAAGCATATTTTAGTTTTCCTACTAAAATTGTGCAACTTAAATCATAACTTTTAATAGAAAAATGGAAAATAGAAACGTACTACATTTATTCGGAAAACTAACTGGAAAATCTAGGTTACTCCGAAGACATTCACGTCCGACAGCTGGAAAATTACGACCGTTCACGAGATACTTAATAGAAATCAGAGCTGCGATACATTAACATTTTATTACATTTCTGTCCGGGTGAGAATTTACGGACGACCCATGGCCGTCAACCAAATTCCCGCCGACATATTTTATCGCTATCTCTCTACGGCACTCATTAAATTAACCCCTTACTAATCCTACGCACCTCGGAGGCAAGGAATCCCAACTTCCCAGTCTGGAACTTCATTAACGGCGTACCTATCTTATCGTTTGTCGTCCGGGTGTAATAAATACACGTGTAACCCCTTGTAATGCCCCGAATCGACACGGACCACCGTCAAACTCCTCTACGTGGACGGGTGTGAGACAATCCACCCAATCACGGACGTCGCGTCGGCAGAGGCTTAACTGATTAGTCTATCGGTTTCAGTTGATCTGATATGCACTGACAAAAATTGTGAAAATTTACAAAGACTTTTAATATGTCTTAAGTGTCCTGACAAGGGTGTAAGTCATTTTTATTTTTCCAGGGATAGCGGCCATATATAACATTCTTTCACGAGAAAACAGAAAACTCTTTTTGTACGGTAACATTTTTTATTTTTGGGAAATCATAAGATGAGACAAATTTACTGAAACGTACGTAATTTTAATGAATCTGTGAAGGTATATGTGGAAGAATTTTATTTGCGGCCAAGCAAAATGTAAAAAAATAAAAATAATATTTGCAGATTTATACCGAATGAAGTGGATTATAAAAACGTTACCTAATGTGGCGTCAAAATAAACTTAGCAAAAGAAATTAAGGGAGCAAAAAAAAATTCTAAATTTTATTAGTGATTTTTTAAAAGGCTGTAACTTCGTGAATAATCGAGAAAATAAAAAAAGCATCTTGAAGCTTCAAGATTTTAGTTTTGAAATCTTGATATGAAAAATTTTTTTGAGCATCAGTATCGGCTGTTGCGTGAAAAGTCACCTTTTTGTTTGATCATCGATATCTCATGAACTAATGATCGTACAGCGAACGGAAGGAAGGTTTTGGAAATTTGAATCAATCCTCTTCAAGGGCCTTTTGTCATCTTTGAGAAAAAAACTATTTTATACTGAGTATTAATTTGAAAAACTGCAAAAAAATGACTTTTTCTGCTGTTTTGGAAAATCAACGACAACTTCGCGAATATTGCGAAAAGTACAAATGTTTGCAGGTTTCTTCTTAGCTCAATATATTGCCCATGAGGACTGTAAATTTTGAAATCGATCGGTCCAACCATTTTCCTTTCCTAAATCGTCAAGTTTAGTATAAAAAATTACAGGAGCAGCTTTATTGCTCCTTAAGCATCATTTAATCATGATTAACATGAATTTTTTTTTTGTTTTATTTTCCTAAGAATTTCTCGTTAAATACTCATTAAATATATAAAAAAAAATTCAAAATTTTGAAAAAAAAAATTCAATTCTGGAATAAAATCAAGTTTTTCAAAATTTGTTTGCGTTATCATTTTTACAATAATTATACATTGCATATTTCAAATGTCCAAATATTGAAATTTAAAAAAAACTTTTCTGATTTCAAAAAATTATATTGAACCATTTTCTGTTCAGTTTTGATGCGATTTTTTTTCGCATGCCGTATTTCATCGAGTTAAAATTTATTGCATTAATTTAAGTTGATCCCCTATAGTCTGTTTGGAAATGAAAGAGAGTAATAAAACCCCGAAATAAGAACCGGCCATGGGCGTGGTAATATTTCGTTTCAGGTAATTATCGGGTAACACTAATGCTAACAGGTAATGGGTGTACATTAGTATATTTTACTGGATACATCATAGGGCAGGAGCCAGTGTATTGTGACAGATCAATCCAGTCTTAGAGCTGAATATACGAAGACGTGCTAGTGCAGTAGAGTAAAATTCGACTTGTGTTTAGTGACTATTGTGCCAGTGGATATAATATTGTTTGGGTAAAATGTCGAGCTTATCAGATTACGTACCTGCTAAACGCGTGAAAAGATGTGCGCTGTCTCAGAATGAGAAGATTATTATATTAAATGTATTTAATGCATTGAAACACCAAAATCCTACCAACAGTGTTGACGACATCGTGGAAAAGTGTTCCAAAATGACAGGGATTGGAAAATCGACTATCTACAGACTTTTAAAGGAAACAAAAAATGAACAAGATACTGTAAATCCCCCAAAATCATCTACAGGGAGGTCAAAAGTCGTTATAGATGATTTCTTCAAAAATGTCATTCGCAGAAAAGTACACTCATTTTATTTTAAAAAAGAAATACCAACGCTAAACAAAATTTTAAGTGAACTTTCAGAGGACAACGATTTGCCAAAAATCAGTAGAAGCAAATTATGGGCCGTCTTACGAGAGTTGAATTTTTGCTGGGAAAAGCAGAACAGGAAGTCAGTTCTTATCGATAAAGATGAAATTATTTGTTGGCGAAGATCCTACTTAAGATCAATTAGAAAATTCCGTGACGAAGGGAGGAATATTTATTATCTAGACGAAACTTGGGTCAACGAGGGATATACTGTAACAAAAGTATGGCAAGATAAAAATGTAAAAAGTTTTCGACAAGCATTTTTGGATGGACTTTCAACAGGGTTCAAGGCACCTTCAGGTAAAGGGCGAAGATTAATAGTGACACATATAGGTAGTGCCAGTGGTTTTGTAGATGGCGGTTTACTTTTATTTGAATCTAAAAATACAGGTGACTATCACGAAGACATGAACGCAGATGTTTTCGAAGAGTATTTTACACAGATGTTGGATCTTATTCCTCCGGGGTCTGTAATTGTCATGGATAATGCCAGTTACCATTCACGGCAGACCGAGCGGACGCCTACGACTGCTTGGAGGAAAGCCGATATAATTCAATGGTTATCCGGAAAAAACATTTCTTTTGAAACAAATATGGTGAAAAAGGAACTTTTGACACTTGTCAATCTTAATAAAGATCAGAAAAAATATGTTATCGATGAAATGGCAACAAATCGCCAAATAACGGTACTACGGTTACCACCTTATCACTGTGAACTTAACCCAATCGAATTAGTCTGGGCGCAGGTAAAAGGAGATGTAGCGCGAAATAATACGACGTTTAAATTAAGTGACGTGAAAATTTTGTTAAAAAATTCCTTGGAACGAGTAACTGCAGATAACTGGCAAAGATGTATACATCATGTACAAAAAGAAGAGGAGAAAATGTGGGAACTCGATAATTTAATTGACGTTACTGTGGAACCTATCGTTATCAATCTAGGAGACGAAGATAATTCATCAGAATATTCAGAGGATGAATTTTAATATACCTACTTTTTTATTTTCTTTATTGTACATTTATACAACACTACATTTACTCACCATAATTTGAATTTTCAAAATACATATATTTTTGTGTGGAATAAAAGTCTATTCATTAAATTTAAATAAATATTTTGATAATAATATTGAATAATTTTATTTGAATTACTAAAAACCCTCTTAACCCGGTTATGATGCTTAAAGTAGCCTCATGTTTTGAAATGCTGTTTTTATATTGTTTACTTATAAGAGAAATGGACCGAGAAATTGAAGCGGCATAGACAAAGACGGATTGTCGTGGATTAAATTTTAGCTACCTGCTACAATTTAGTACAACCCAGTCACACAAAGTTTTTTTAAAAGTACACCTCATCTATACCGATAATACATAATATAAAAATATTGAATATAAGCACCAGTACTACATTTATTTACGATTTGCATACATAATAAGCTTTTATTACTCTCTTTCATTTCTAAACAGACTATAACTCAATCTTCATGCACTTTTTTACATATATCGTTATTTGATTTATTGATTCTTTGTTCAAAAGTACTCAAGCCTTTAAAAAATCACCAATTTTTTTCATTACAAAAATGATAATCTTAAATTTTATTCACATTTTTTTTTCAATATTTAATAAACATTCAATGTTAAATTGTGAAACAAATGAAGCAAAAAAAAATAGAAAAGCTTTTTCCAAATTTTTATTTTTTTTTGACATTTGGTGAGTATTTAACGCGAAATTGTGAGAGAAATAACGTTTTTTTTTTCATCTTAAGCATGATTAATTGATGTTTAAGGAGCAATACACCTGCTCCTTTAAAATTTTCATCTCGGTATTTCAAAACTAGATTCTTTAAGCTTCAAGATGCTTTTTTTTCTCGACGACCATTATCAGCGATACAAGTTACAGCCTTCCAAAAATCACTAAAAAAATTTGGAAATATTTTTGCCCCCTTAATTTTTTGCCGAGTGTATAATGTATAATTTTACGTAAAATTTCTATGAGTGTAGTCCGTTTCGGAATAACTAGAGAAAGACTTACCGCAATGAGGGCTGGAAAACAGTGTGCAATTCGCATAGTAGCCAGTGCTGGCGAGGGTAGATTTCGAGGGGTAAGGGCAACACCAACCCTCGCACCTCGGCTGTCCTTTACTGCGCCCTAATCTTAGGGATACTGATACGACCACATGGCATCGACCAGCAGAACCACCATATTGTGTGTCCTCCTCAAATCTGTAGCTGGCCTGCACCGGTCAAACCCTGAAACAAGAAGAAAACTCGTAGGAATCTTCGGAGCACTTCAATCAACTGGCGCAAGAAAAATGTCTGAATTGTACTAGAGCGGAAAGATTACTGGGGGGATGTTTCGATATTACCGAAATGTAACTGTAAGGATATCGATATCAGATCTGTGTTACGAGTATAAAAGGCTTAGATATGCAAGCGCCACTACGGAAACCCCCGTCTAGCGTTAAGTTTATCTAGACAAACAAGAAGAATATCATCAATGGAGACAAGCGGATTCATCGCAATGAATCACATTGAAAATCCTTATCTTCGGTTCACGATTGACCGGTTTCATTTGAATAGCGTGAACTGGCGGTGCCACAGCAATAAATACACATTTTTCGCGACGTTACGTCTAGACGCAACGAATGGACGCGATACCGCGGTCATAGTAGTTCTAAGCATACAAATGTGGCTAATGACATCAATCATATGAGTATACCTTTGAAAGTCAATATTTTGTATCGGATTTGCGGGAATCGACGAAATTGAGATAATAAATAAGTACGTGAAAAAATGATCGAAATAAAATTATTGTTCTCGTAATCCTCTAGATATAATGTAATCTTCCCACAATATTTGCACAATAATTATTATAGTCTAAGTTAAAGGAGCATGTTGTTAAAGTTTTCCGGGATATGAATTTTGTTAGTTACAGATTTGTAAATAAAAATAGAATCATTGATATAGTTGTAAGTACATAATCCTTTTAAATTTGTAAAAATAATCAGAGTATAAAAGTGAACTTTTAATATTTTTAACAAATTTGTGTGGATGTTCATGTTTCTTTCCGAGGTAGGTACGACTACATTTTTATACAATTATATATTTAGAAAAATAGTCACATTAACTCTAAAATAAATTCCTCAAAAACATGAAAACATTCTTTATAATTACTAAAATGAGATGTAAAATCAGGCGCGAGAAAGGAAAATTATTGCTACCTAATAAAATTAACTTTGCTGCATACCAAAGTTTCCAATTCTGTCTTCGTTGCAATCACAGCAGTTGCAGTCTCTTTCCAAACGTATCTCGCAGCCTCAAACTGCATCTAAAGTCTTATAAAGGTAAAGGTGATATAAAGAGCGCATGATATGAACAAATAGGCGCACCAAGAACCACCGGTCACGGATTCACATAACTGACAGATCTATGCCTCATCCGATGCACTAGGAACGGTTGCGTTATCGATAATGTGATTTAAATGATATCGCGATAACGCCACCCGCCCCAAAACAAATAAATATTGGACGCTAGAAATGCGACCAGCGCAAAGTCTGGCCCAGGCACGCACTATACTAAGTAAATATGTACGCTAAATAGTTGAGGTGATCCGTTTGATCTCCTATGTTGACACTAAGGATTATCCGCCCAAGCGCCTACCTGGCGGATAGTGGGAGACCGCGTAATTGGGTATTATGGGGCTTTGGTAATTAATTTTTTTTTTCACGTAAAGGTGATTTATAGCTACGATAAGAATCAATACTAGTAAATTTACGGGCACTCTAGCTCGTTTTGAATATTTATTAACTAGAACTTTCTTGAATGAAACAGTATATTTTGCATTTAGAAGACCACGTAATTCGGTGGCTTAGTACTTAATTCATTTTTTAAGCAAAATTGATTTATAAGTATGATAAGCACGCGAAAATAAAGCGTTGTAAAAAGATACTAGAGGTTTTCTATTTTGTGTAAGAAAGATAGAATTTTAATAATATTTATTTAATACAGTTTTGTGTACAGGGTGATTCACTATATTTTGACCCCCCTTTAACTTATTTGTTTTAAGAGTTATAAAAAAAATTGAAATATAAAAGTTACACGATTTTTTATGAATTTTTCGAAAGTGATAGTAGAAAAACAAATGAAGTCCAAACAAAATGGCCGAGGATGTTAACTTTGTTAAGTTAAATGGAACACCCTGTGTACTTTTACATATTTGGATAGAACGTTCCCTCTCGAACATAGTCATATAGGGTTTGTTGGGTCTATCTCTAACAATAAGCGAGATACTATTAAAAAACGAAAAGAAGGTTTTTTATTAAGAAAATAATAGATCTTGTAATTAATTGTTAGACCTTTTTCAGGCATTTCTGCCTGTTTTCCAATTACGTAAGAATATACAGATTTAGTTATATATTGATATATCGAACATTGATACGGTCCAAAATGCGTATAGGTCAATGGTCAATATAACGAAATCTCACTAATTAGGCCGTGAGAGGTCTAATTACTCATGGACATTATATGGTAGGTCGTGACAGTAACAGGTAGTAGTACTGACAACATTATTATTGATTGACAGTTTGTATTATTATTTAATTAAAATAGGTTACACAGAGGTAGAAAATTATTTACAATTAAAATAGGGTATGGAGAAGAACTTCTTTATTTTAATTGCTATAATATTTCAGTTTTCTACTTCTGTGTAAGCTATTTTAATTAAATAATAATACAAACTGTCAAACAATAGCACTGTTGCAATGACATTACCTGCCACTGTCATAGCCTACCATATCATTGTCCATGAGTAATTAGGCCTCTCACGGCCTAATTAGTGTGATTTAGTTAAAATACCTATATACATTTTGGACCATATCAATGTCCGATCTGTCAAAATATATTATAAGTAAATCTGTAAATCCTTACGTAATTGAAAAAAGGCAGAAATGCCTGAAGGAGGTCTAACAATTACAAGATGTCTTATTTTCTTAATAAAAAACCTTCTTGTCGTTTTTTAATAGTATCTGGCTTATTGTTAGAAATGAACCCAACAAACCCTACATGACTATGTTCGACAGGGGGTTTATCGAAATATGTAAAAATATACAGGGTATTCCGTTTAACTTAACAAAGTTAACATCCGCGGCCATTTTGTTTGGACTTCGTTTGTTTTTCTACTATCATTTTCGAAAAATTCATAAAAACGCGAGCAACTTTTTCATTTCACATTTTTTTATCTCTTAAAATAAAAAAGTTAAGGGGGGGGGGTCAAAATATCGTGAATCACCCTGTACGTATCCAATAGAAAAATTGTAGTTAAGTTAAATACAATAAATTACAACATACAGTGCAATTTTTTTCTATTTTTCTTCTGTACATAAACAGTAGTAAATGTCGCATATACAGGGTGTCCGGAAAAGTCATGTCAAAAATTAAAAGGAATTTTTTTTATGAAGTACTACATTTATTTTTACCTCTCCTGTACCTATATCCCTTCATTTTTGATATGATCTTTCCAGATACCCTGTATACTAGATTATTTAGATTATATTTGATTATCTTATTAGAATTTTCTGAAACATGTTTTTAGTGAAAACAGAGGGTCGCAAATGAATATCTATATTAAAAAAATTCAGTCGCCACTGACAAAAACAAAAATGTTTTTTCCCAAGATCCCTGTTGATTTCGAAATAAAAATATGATATGCGGTTTCCCAATGAAACGTATTTATCAACAATATACTTTTTCTCGCGTATTCCTTTAATAATAATCCTAATATGAAAAAATAAATTATGGTCATCTTTAATTTGTTAAAGATGCACACGTTGCTTTGTTCCATTATTTAAATAAAACAGTATAGTCCGAACGATATTTGTTGAGATGAAATTCCACGTCACTTTCTTGGAATTAACAGTATTCGACACCCGAGGTAGAAAGACATTGGCGGAAAATTTCACGGCACGCCCCTGTTGCGGTAAATTGTTACAGTAGTTCCGATAACAGAACTTTATTGGCTCATTCTTTTCTTGGAATTATATCTCAACAAATGTTGTACGGACTGTACCTATATAATTTACTGCTTTGTTTAATTTGGCATTGAAGCTTACTCTCATAATAAATACCAGTTATTTTGAACTTTTTTAAAATGGCTTTTTAATGAAATACCCAGTATATACCGACTAGAGAAACCACCGAACTTTGATAATCAAATTTTTCACACAAAGTTAATGCATATACTAACATTTTTTTAGGTGTTTATTATTTACAGAAAACAGTGCTGTTATCGCTTGCTGAATTATTCCCACAATATCTAGTAAACAGCTAGGATCACTGGTCATCCGAAGCCACCAGACATACACCGGTTTCGAACTTATTATTCCTCATCTGTAGGCCTAGCTGTTTACTAAATACTGTCGGTATAATTCAATGCTAGTCAGGGCACGAAATCCGCAGAGTAGTTGTTTTTCGCACTATCTGCAGGTCGCTTTCTGTCTTAGGCTTTGACATTGAGTAGCAGAGACCTTTTATAGATTTAGCACCCTGTTATGTACCAAATTTAATGTATTTGAATATTCTTATTTTTAAAAAAAAAAATTATTATATAGTGTATTATTAAAGACCGTAGGTTATTAGAGCTGATAACCAACCATAAATAAGTATACCTGCTTGTTTTTATTATTTTTCTTTGGACTTTCTAAAATACCAATTTAATGAAACAGTATCTTTCTACATAACTCCTCTGTTTTAATTCACTGGATTATTTTTAGAATTCATTAATGATTTTTCTTATCCTGGCGATGTATAGGTACTAACTGTTGAATTTCGAAACGTACCAAACAAATTCGTTATAATATTTTTTTAAACGAATCAAATTTGTTGATAAATTATTTCCGCAAAACAACATGCCTCTTCAGTACCAATACTGTACGTCATATACATTCTTAGAAAGCATAAATATTGGAACATTAACCCAGGAAATGGTATCAGTCACGTATTCGGGTCCTTAAATACACGATATTAAAACGAGAAATGGCTAATATTTTGCAGTGTCGATTACTTGTATCATTTAAATTTTCAGCAAATCACTATAATTTGCAGTCTCACGTATACAACAGAGGCGTTCATTTTAATAATCGTATTCTGTTGGCA